GGGTATAGGAAGAGCTTAAGATCTTGGTCAGAGCCAAGCAAATGTGCAAGGGCCACAGCACGCCTCCTGGTCCCTGATCCTCTGCCTGCCCAGCCCGTCGCCACCAGGCTCCCTCCTACGAGGGTGTGGGTGCTGGCTCCTTGGGTGCTGCCCAACCCATCCTTCCAGGACTGAGCAGGCCAGGCTGGGGTCCACCCCCCCCCACCCCCCCCCCCGCTCTCGGGAGGGCCAGATGATTCAGCGCTCCACTCCTATCCTTCCCGCCGCAGCTGCCTTCCCCAACTGGGAAAGCGGACTGCTTCCCACAGGGGTCTCTGCATTAGACACCCCCCCACCCCAGAGGGAGGCCAGCGGCCCACACTCTGCCCTTCCAGGGCTGAGGCTGCAAGAGCATCCTTCCCACCCGCCGAGTAAGGGAGCTGCCTGCTGGCTTAGACCAGGGCCCTGGCTGCCCCTCAAACGGGGTTTCCCTAAGGCAAGGCTGCCTCTTTCCCTCAGCTGAAGGCTCCCTGATGGGGAGCATCGTGCCTTCCTCCTCAGTCTAGGGCTGACTACCAACACGGAGCGCAGAGGACAGGCCTCAGCAGGGCCTTCCCTTCTGCCTAGGGGCTCTGGCGGCACAGGAAATGCCCACGCTGGCAGCCCAGAGCTGCTCTGCGTGGTGAGAACCAGTTTCCCAGTGGCCCTCCCGCCCCTAGACGCCGAGTGCCACTGAGAGGCGCTTCAGGAGCCTTGTACTGGCTGGGAGCAGGCATGCACGGCTTGCAAACCGTGGGCCCTAACTGAGTCCTGGGGAAGAGGGAGAGAGGTGGTGGCGAGGGGCCCCCAGAAGTACAGAGCCAAGCATATGGAAGTCAGGGAGCCCCAACTCGGGAGAGGAGCCCCCCATCCCAAGGGGGAGTGGGGACAGACCCTTCAGGTGAGGCAAAGCCACTGAGCACAGTCCAAAGGCATGGGAGCTGAAAGCTACCTGCAGCCAGACGGAGGCCCTGCAGGAGCCACCCCCCGCCCCCCACCTGGCCAGGCCGGCCCTGCCGCCCTCACCTCTGCACTCTGCTCCTCGGAGGAGTCGTCATAGTCGTGCTTGCCCTCCTGGCTGCCATACTCGCGGGGGTACGAGCGGTAGTCCATGTCTCGGTAGTCATGGTCCCGGCTGCGGTTCTCCCCACTGTCGTCCTGGGAACGGTCGGTGGCTCCATAGCGGCCAGTCCTGTCCCCACGACCACCCCTGGGGGAAGGCAAGCGGGAGGGGTTACAGGCGCGGTCCTTTCTCAAACGTGCAATAGGTGAAGCTGAGCCCG